TTCTGTCCGCTCAACTTATTCGGTTGCGATCAATTTCAAGTAAAAAACAATAATCGCAAGCAACTTGGACCAATGTGACGACATTTATATTGATCACCATTTTTTCGCATAGCTAAAAGGATTCTGCTCTATAGAAATGCCTTTCTCGTACAAGCACTTTTTTTCATGGGATTTAAGAAAACTGTGCTAGTTGGCCAGTAGATTAGGGAGTTGATCGTGTTTGTCCTTTGTCCGCCAACTGTACGTGGAATGCTCGACTTTGTATGAATTCGCCACGCGGGACTTTTCTCCGTAACTGTCTTGAACAACCTCGAATTTGGGTTATAACAGCTTATAGCAACAACAACGATACAACAATAACGTGTGATATTTGACGATATGTAAGCTGGGTGGATACGAGCGAGATTGAAATGGGAACAAGTGATACACTTGAAGGAAGTTAGGCGGACACTGGTAGATTGGAAGACAGACACTAGTCTCTATGACTGCTGGTGCTCCTTATATTCTATCTGTAATGGCTGGAGTTTTACCGAGGGAGTAAGAGCGAGTGCTAATTCAAGGCATGACACGGTGCATGCGGAGAAGTACATCAGATAGGACGGTATGCCAGAGGCTTCGTCGACATAGAACTTTATCAGATAGCGAAGGAGTAGCTCGTACAGAAAGGTTATATGAAAACGACGCAAAGGCTTATCAAAAGGTCATGTGAAAGAGATAAAATAGCTTGTACAAAGGCTTCTACCGAAAGTACATGTCGAAACGGTCTAAAGACTCATACATTATAAATGGATAGATTTAAGATAGTTATGGGCAAATAGTTAGTATAGGGAACATGTGATATTATAGAGAATAGGAACTATTTAAGTGCTTTAAAAAGTGCTCAGAATATCGGAGTTCCGTTCGATGTAAATCGCCTACCTTGTCATGCTAGCTTCAGCTTCATCGCTCTTCATAATCCATGAAGTGACTTTGAGTGTTTATTTATGTGATCTTATAAACTGATCTTCTTAAGCCGACGCGAGGTTGGTACAAGTCTTCGTTGTCGTTGTCGTTGTTTTTGATGCTATTGATCGACGGCTGACGTTTCGACGACTTCGCCTTACTCAGAGCCTGGACGTGTTTTATATTAGAATATTTTTATTATTCGATGGAAAAGAAAGGTTAAAGTATTAATGAAGATCAAACTCTCAAATAGACGCCATATTGAACAGAAAGGTCACTCACCGTGATGTTACGTGCGGGACTGGCCCACACGTAGCTCACACGAGCAAGACACGCCCCGGGGTCGAAATATCATTTTGAAATAGGGCGCCAGGTCACGCGTGATAGTGAGGCATTCGTCTTTCCGCTTCATCTTTGGATTTTTGAAATCTTCATTAATACTTTAACCTTTCTTTTCCACCGAATAATAAAAATATTCTAATATGAAACACGTATCATAGAAGTGTATCATAGGAGATCCCGTTTAAGCTACCCTTCATATCAAATGAGGTAAGTCAAGCCATTAAAAAGTGCTTAAGAAAAAGTGGTCTTGAAAATTTTGTAACGATTGTCGACATTCCACCCAATACCCTACGCCGCCAGTTAGTTCGCAACCATCTCTATGATCACAATGTTACTGAGATATTTGCAAAACTCTGGACCGCAGGTGTCTATGGTGGGTTCTATGCCTATGTGGTTGTATTTCGCTTAGTACTCTGCCGCGAAATTATAGTAGGCAGAAAATAAAAAGGTATAACATTGTGATTCCAACTACAGCCGCAACTTAACTGGGTTCTATGCCGATTTGGGCGCCCCAGATCAATCCAGCTGACGGGTGATTACTGCGGCAAAGATCGATAGAAATAGCTGAGAGACAAGCAAAACGAAAGACCCGCATGGTGTGGTGGTGAACGCGTTACTCCCCGGAAAGAACAATAGCGCGTTCGTTCCCCACCATAGACACCTGCGGTCCAGAGTTTTGCAAATATCTCGGCAACGTTGTGGTTGTATCTCTATGATCGTTTGTGCAGCTCAGAAAACTGTATGATCTGTCCTAACGGGAGAGACGGGGATTGCATGAGTTTAGGTATAATATACTTGATCTCATGTAACGCATGCGGTGAGGAATATATTGGGGAAACGGGTGGACCACTTTGTGTCCGCAAAAAAGAACATCTAGATGGAAAAGTTAAAATCCGTCTAAACACTCCTCTAGGTACGCATGGGGCACAGAAGCACAACGGCGATGATTTCGAAGTGAATGTGCGGATCCTATCGTAGGAATCAAAAACATCAACGCGCAAAACTCTTGAGGCGTTTTGGATAAATTTCAAAAATCCAAAGATGAAGCGGAAGGACGAATGCCTCACTATCACGCGTGACCTGGCGCCCTATTTCAAAATGATATTTTGACCCCAGGACGTGTCTTGCTCGCGACTCCACGAAAACAAAGCGGGGGCCAGTCCCGCACGTAACATCACGGTGAGTGGCCTTTCTCTTCAATATGGCGTCTGTTTGAGAGTTTGTTCTTCATTAATACTTTACCCTTTCTTTTCCACCGAATAATAAAAATATTCTAATATAAAACACGTCCAGGCTCTGAGGAAGGCGAAGTCGCCGAAACGTCATCCATCGATCAATAACATCAAAAGCAACGAGAACGACGACGGAGACCTGTACAAACCTCGCTTCAGCTTAAGAGGATCAGTTTATAAGATCACATAAAAAATATATCAGCTATCTATACCGAGGTTTATAGAAAGTCGGTCTTGCGAGTGACTTTGAATGCGTTGTTCAAATTACCCTGCTCACTTCCAAATGAACGTCCGAATATTCTTTTGCAGTTTATACAAGAACAGGGATGGTGCAATGGTAGTGATACCCTCCTTTACGATTAAGGTCGAAGTAACCCAAGAGCTGGTTGGATTCCGCTGCGCGCCCACCGAGCGTCCTCCCTCTTCGGGATCGAGAAATTGCAACCAGACTCATCTGGGACCGGCTCACTCCAGTCTTCGATGTGTGGTATTATAGCATGAATATTCCAGGGATTCCAGTCAAGATCGACTTGAGCAGGATTCAAAAGTGTTCGTAGCAAAAAAGAAATCCTCTAGCAGCAGCCGAACTAGCACGCAAAACGACGATCTTCGCAGATGATCCCTTAGGGGAGGACAAATCGAGTGCAAGAATTGATGGGTTTCGTTACATTATGTGACGTCGGTCCGTAAAAACAATGGAAGGGTAAAGTTCTCGGTGTTGATCAATCCCTGATAGATGCGCCATGCATTCAACTTCATCAAGTATCGTTTGGAGGTGATTGAATTCATTTCTGGCCTTTACAATTACTCACAGTGGCTTATCGATGTGTTGAGCCAGTGCTGTTATCCTCCCAGACAAGCGGTATACGAATTTGCCAACTCCAGAGGGATGGAAGGCTTGGTGAGCCATGGGCGCGGGGTCGATTCCACGTGTGTGTTGTAGGGCGCCTCCGACTACTGCGCCACACGCTCCCCTATGTGACGTCGGGTCATACGAAAAAAATTATACAACATATTCTTCCAACATGTCAAAACATAATATATAATACATAACAAAATATGAGAGTCAATCAACACCAAAATATAAGAAAAATTTCTTATTCTAGAAATGGTGGGATCTAAAAGTATGGTATACGAAATGTGACACAGAAATTCATTGTAATAGATGGAATAACAAATGTCGCACTACATTTTACAAAGCTAGCCATGAAGAATGGAACAAATAACAAAGAGAGTTCAATACTTTCATCCATTCCGGAGTTAACACCAGGCCACTGCCAGAAAATCCTTATTGTGGCCAACGTTTCGACGGTTTCAGCAACGAGTGTTTGTTTCGTACGGTGTCCCGATCCATATGATTTGACTCGAATCGACTACTAAGATCCACATGGAAACAACTACTGCGAGCATCTGATTTTAACCGAAGGCTGTAGGCTTGAAGAAGATAGAGGAGCAGAAACGTTAACAAGAATGAAGGGCACTTGATAACAACCTCGTGCAACTCCATGAGTGCAATAAAGGGTTGATTACTCGTGCAGAGGATAAAAAAATTTGGTCTTTTAGAAATACAAAGCTTTGTTGTTTCTTCATTAAACAACTATCTGTTACAGCAAATCCACAAAAACGCGACGTTAAGAGCAAAAAATAAATGGTTTACGGACGATCTCTACAACAGGATTAATGATGTGTTAAATCAGATTGTAGCCTACGAAAATGGCCTATTTGGTGAGAACTCGGTGCAAAGTAGCCATTAACCTGAAGACGTACTACTTAGTGGATTTTAACACCGTAAATTTTGTTATGCGGAATCAAAATTATACGACAAACGATATGGTGGCATTTCGGTGCCTCATTTTGCTAACCTACTTCCACTTGTTCAGTAACATTTCTTTAAAAGAAAATAACTCCGCATTAATAAAACTAGATATGAAGCAACGAAATATGAAATACACCCAACAGTACCATCATTCGGCTCTCTATTTCGGTCTAATCCAGTTAAATTTTTGAGAACCCATAAATACCTTCATATGTGTATACTTGGACCACCCGTCCTCACTGGTTGTGCAGGCGCCACCATATTCTCCATTTTCGGAGTTTTGCTGGCTTGGCCACTGTGTTTCCTTGGAGTCCCGAGGTCAGCCTGGCCAAAGTCTGCCCCATGTCATCACCACAAGCAGCTGTCACCCTTCTGGATATGAATGAGATTTGCCACCATGCGACTAGTTTGATACCAGGACGGTGGTCGATCCTGGTATTGGTTTATTCTTAGCTGGGCTTCCTGCCAGCCACAATGAAGCGGTAAACCATTGAAAGAGAACTCAAAAATGCCTACTAGTAAATAACAATCGCTTTCATCGCTCAACAGAACGATTCAATTGTTTTTGGCGAGTTTGAAGAAAACTGTAAGTTTTGTATAACGCACTTCTTCTGTATGAAGGCCGGCACAGGTATCGATATAAGCTTAAAATAACTTTTTTCTTAGTTGAGTTTTCGAGCAGACATATAGGTCGCACCAGCTTGATTATCTATTTTTGATGAAAGAAACCAACACCGTGATTGGCGAATAAAAAGAAGCATTACCTGCCCACCATGAAGTTATTACATCTCATGGAGTGTATTTATAACTTGCGTCGTAAATTAATTCATTGTTGTGTCAGTATTGACTTCTTTTCTGGAGTGCTTAAAAGCACCAATATCACTTCCACGCGATATTGTTTCTCGTTCTTCAGATGAGACCGTAATGATAAATAATCTCGACATTGGCCTGGAAATAAGGAAGATCCGAGGTGGTTCGTTGTTCAACGATATCAACGCGCGAATGAATATGAAACTCGACTGTATGAACCGCGCTAGTCCCATATGCAAATGGATTAAGCCGCTCAAGTACTTCGTGTATTCCGCGGTGTGTTGTTCTTATTTTTTTGCGAGCAACGTTAGTTTTTTCATTTTTATTTTATTTGATTCGTCTTCACGTCTACTGTGCGGATCCCGGCACTTTTCAATATTCAATTCGTCCCTTGCATCCACCGTCCACGAAGATCTTCCAACTTTGGGTGTGACTTCGGTTGCTGCTTGAGGATTTTCATTTCGTCTTTAATTTTGTAGAATGCTGTTCAAGCAATTCTCCCTAGAGTCCTGAGATAGCCAGGCTGGAGCGTTCCCAATTGGATTGCAGAGAGCGGTTTTTTCCTAGACAAATCCGGCACCAGTTTTCTGACCTCGGAGGGATGAGAGACTTAGTTGGCCCGGAGCGGAATCGAACTAGCACCATGCAGTTATAATGGGCATCACTACCACTGTGCCACCTCCCTCCAGGGACGTTAGTACAGCTTTAAAAATATTAAGCAATCTTATACCTGCTGACATTCAGCTCATTCAACTAGATTAAGCGGTAGGTGCAGCCATTGGCTATTTTGGATATGAAGTCGAAGGCGATGGCAGCGACAATGATGATTATAGAGCCCTCTTTTTCTCTAGTCGCCCTTGCATTACTACAATTGTTCCAGAGTAGACAGTTGTCACTGATATCATTACATAGTCCTTGAAATATTTAACGGCTTGAAAAATAGCGCCAGTGCTTTCGGCAGATATCCCAACCACTAAGTGATGCCAATCAATCAGACCTTAGGGATGAGATTAACCTGCATTACTTGCTGCTTGTTTAATCTGATACTCTGAGCTCATAAGAAAGATATTGCTATTTCTGCTCAACGCTTGTGTATTTTCAGCATGACACCACTGTCAATGCGTTTTTGTCAGTTTTGGATATTACAAAGAAAGTCGTTCAGCCCGGCGGCTATCCACCGTATACATCAGCAGTGTTTATCGAGTTATGGATCAATCACACCAACAACCAGCCGTATTTCAAAGTAAAATCATGGACATCTGCATTTCATTTTGGTCATGTTTCATGTAATACTGTGTGGTTCACCTATTTTTAGAGGTTGCTAAATTGGAATCAGAAGAGGTAAACTGGTAAGCGGTGATCTATCCTATTGGGGTGCTCCATGAATTTGTTTCATTCGCAGCATCGCAGAGGTAATCGAGTGAATACTTGGCCTACGCACTAACTGTCGAGTACGTGACAGTTTACCAAGCGAACGTTTTTGATCTTATCGGACAAATTTATCGTTCCCGGAAGGATGAGATGGATGGTTCATTTGACAACGGCGGCATATTGGACCGGAAATCATTTTTCTGTTGTGGAACATCTGTAATCAGCGCCCATTATATCCGACATTAAATAATAAGTAAAATTTTCGGATTGCTCATAATTTCTTTACACAGCACTTTATCACAAATAGTTCGGGCACATTGCTCGCTGTGCTGGGTAAAGCCTCTGGCACAGTGGTCGGAGGCCTCTGCAATGCACACAGGATCGATTCCTGAGCCTCTGACCTACCAAGCATCCATCCCTTCGGGGTCGGCAAATTGGTTCCAGACTTGTCTGAGAGGATAGCAGCACCAGCTCGATACATCGATAGGCCACCACAAGTCATTGTAAATGTCAGATATGCATTCAATCATCTCCAAACGATGCTTAATGAAGTCGAATGTGCATGGCGCATCCCTAAGGGATTGATCAACGCCGAAGGCTTTATCCCTTTTTATCCTGAGTAAAGCTGAGCTAAGTATACAAAAATAGAGAAAGCATTGAGTTAGTGTTTTTCATGAGTAGGAAACATTGCTTTCTCAAGCTAAAGACTGTGAAACCGTGTTTGAACGTATTAGTAGAACCTGAAAGATTTAAATGGCACAGCTATGTGTGGTGACTAGTATGGATCAAATGTGGAATTTCGATGGCAGAACAATCTGAAACAAAAAACTGGGTGATAAATCTATTCAGCTGTTGTACCACAAGAATGCGCAGACCGACACTCTCTATCCAATCACTCCCTTTATTGACGCATGTGGAAAGGCAACCTATTGCAAATTGGAAATCTTCAGACATTTTGCTGCTTCTACGAAGCCTGACGAGCCAATAGAGACGGTAAGCAGACATACTTCGAAACTAACTGCCGTTATTACTGTGTAGTCCTTTGTTTGTGGTTTTCAAAGCTAACGAAATAACGGTTGTTCGCCGATCTACGAAATTAAAGTGGCTATAAATCAGTTGTGATACCGGACTCAAGCTCGCAACTTGAAATCTGTTTCTTTGCTATAATTCTTTAACGTGATTAGAAATTAGGATATACCTAAATGAGAGCTTAAAAACATTATAAAACTATGTCGAAACCGACTTTCCTTTGACCTCGGTGTGACTAATCAATATGTATTATGATTCGAGAAGATGGCCCGCTGAGGAAGACCTGACTCGACACGGAGGCGAAGCCGCCACGTCGAGATGAATAACAAGCGTGGATCATTGACACGGATCATCGGCTCTGATGAAGATGAAGATGTCGAAACGTTAGCTCACCCATCAACGGGATTGATCTGGAGAGCCCAAATCGGCATTGAACCCAGTTAAGCTGAGGCTTAGTTATAATCACAATCTTAACCCTTTTACTTACTTTTTCGTTTTAATGGCAGGGTATAAACGAGTTATATTTCGCAACATAGCCTGCCATTAAAAAGAGAAAGGCAGTAAATAAAAAGATTGTGATTATAACTAAGCCTCAGCTTGGCTGGGTTCAATGCCGATTTGGGCTCTCCAAATCAATCCCGTTGACGGGTGATTGCTGATGGCAAAAGATCGATAGAACTAGCTGAGAAACAGGCAAAACGAAGGACCCGGATGGTGTGGTGGTGAAGTGCGCTACCCCGCGGTAAGGACAATAGCGCACGTTCGCCCCCCACCGCATACACCTGCGGTCCGGAATTTTGCAAAATTGCCTTCATTACAAAATGGTAATGATAACAATAACAATAATGATACCGATAATAATAATGATAGCAGTAGTGACAATAATAATATCACGTAATGTTTCTTTGGTAAGCTTACATCTATCTGGATTGGTCATACCGAGGTTAACGGAAAGTCGTCTTTGAGATAATAATAATACTGCTTACTTGCTTTGATACTTGACGGAATAATAATACTGCTTACTTGCTTTGATACTTGACGGAATAATAATACTGCTTACTTGCTTTGATACTTGACGGACCGCCTTCACGAGTTGTGCGGGCACCGGCAAAGCTTCCACTTTTTTGTTCACTGATTGCCCAAGCCATAAGCACGAAGTGGTCTCTGCAATGAGAGAACCATCTAGTTCGATTTGTTCGCCTTCGCACCATAGATTTTTCATCAACTGGGCCTTCTACCAATTTATGCGTAGTACAAATAATTGCAATAAGTAATAATATGTAGCACCACCTGCATCACCTTTAGTTCCGTTGATCGTCGAGTAACTCTAATGGGTGTAAATTTTCGATCTTTCCTTATCGCGTGCAAGATTGGCGCAGTCGGTTCTACTCGCTGTACGTACTTGTTGAGCATTATACCTTTCTTCCTTTTCGGGTTTCGCGAAGAAGTCTGATCATCAGGTCGGTGGTGTTCCTGCACTACGTTCGACATCGCGAGGAATCCAGTCACTAACGGCTCTTCTCCATCGGTTATCGTTCATACTCCTTACGTGTCCCAGCCTACCTTATCTTCGATAGTTTGGCGTGCAGAACCGCATCATTGAGATTTAATTCTTAGCGCAGCTCGGAGTTTCCGTTTCTTTTCTTACTTGTGTGATACGGGATAACCCTAGAATCGCCGTGTTCTTGCTCAGCAATCGCGAGGTTTTTAAACGGCATACATTTACTTCCATATAGAAACACAATACAATACAACACTAGCTGGCGTCTCGGCAGTATCGTCTTCTTCAGAGCCTGGAAGGGTATACTGATATACAATCTACTAGGCCAAACGCTTCAATAACACTTACAAAAAGACGAAAAACTCTTTGGTAATTACATGATCAACAACTTCTCGAAAAAACCCACCGCTTTTTCGTGACTTCCAATGAGGAAGTTTAGAACAGCTGATTATAGTCGCATGTGGTTGACGACTGCACCATCCCACATCAAAAATCGATGCGAACATACGAGGTCAGGTGCGTATGACATCCGGGCATTCATATCTGCTATTCATTATAGGGTTTTGGCATTGATCCAAAAAGCCTCAAGAAGTTTTCGCGTTGGTGTTTTAGTCTCCTGTGCAAGGATATTGACTTTTACTTCAAAATCGTCTCCGCTATGCTTTTGTATCCTATGCGTGCCTAGTGGGGTGCTTCGTCTTAGTTTTCGTTTGCCATCTAGGTGTTCTTTTGTACGGATAGGCACTCCTTTAAAAGACCCATTAGCTGCTGGATGGACAAGCCATGCATATTTATTCTCCCTTCATGTTCAACAAGAAGTTCGAAGATGGCTTGCATTGCGAAGTTATTCGACACGTTGGTATACAGTGCGGTAACGTCGAAGGACTCCATCACGTGCGCGTTATTAGGAGACGCCTTACGTACACGTTCTGCTCCAAAGGCGATCCTCCAAATACAAAGAACAAAAATATTCCTTCGTTGCACACTTCTTCATTCTGGCAAACACCTCGTTCTGCTTGCTTCGTAGCGCAGCTCGAAGTAGTTCCATTTCGAGGCCTCGTACTTGTTGGCCGTCCTCTGGTTGACCTCCTCAAGAAGTTGACACCCGACAAAGTGATATCGAAAGCCAAATAACAAGTACATTCTTGTTCATTTCCTTTCTTCCCACCCTTCACACACAAAGAGTGCGATTGTGAGAAACATTTTTCGAACAGCCACCTCTGTGTGCACTACCAGCGAACTAAAGGAAGAATCGCGATACTGGGCTCGGCAAATAGCCATCTCCAATGGCTACGAAATAGTAACCCCACGAGATAAGTTTAGAAGGAGAGCGACGCGCCCACGCGAAACACTTGGCCAAGAGGAAGTCCCGTTTATGTTGCCTTTTATAAGCGATGAAGTAAGCGTAGCTATAAAACGATGCTTAAGAAGGGCAGCTCTAAAGGAATCGGTTGCGATAGTTGAAATACCACCGGCTACTCTACGTCGTCAATAAGTTCGTAACCGCCTGTATGACCATCTATGTGAAACAACAAATTGCGTAATTTACCCTCACAGCAGGAACGGTGATTGCATGAGTTCAGATAGGATATACCTGATCTCTTGTAATAATTGCGGAGATGAATATATCGGCGCAACGGGCAACCTTTGTGTTTCCGTATAAAAGAACACCTAGATGGCAAACGAAAACTAAGACGAAGCACCCCACTAGGCACGCATAGGATACAAAAGCATAGCGGAGACGATTTTGAAGTCAAAGTCAATCTCCTTACACAGGAGTCCAAAACACCAGCGCGAAAACTTCTTGAGGCTTTTTGGATAAATGCCTAAACCCTATAATGAATAGCAGGGATGAATGCCCGGAGGTCATACGCGACCTGATCCCGTACGTTCGCATGGATTTTTGATGTGGGATGGTCCAGTCGTCAACCACATGCGACTATAATCAGCTGTTCTAATCTTCCTCATTGGAAGTCACGAGAAAAAGCGGTGAGTCTTTCGAGAAACTGTTGATCATGTAATTACCATAGAGCTTTTCGTTTTTTTGTAAGTGTTATCGAAGCGTTTGCCCTAGTAGATTGTATACCAGTATACCCTTCCAGGCTCTGAAGAAGGCGATACTGCCGAAACGTCAGCTAGCGTTGTATTGTATTGTGTTTCTCTATGGAAGTAAATGTATGCTGTTTACAAACTTCGCGATTTCTGAGCAAGAAAACGACGTATTCATATTCCAATGCCGAAGTTAATAGAAATTCGATCCTGGGAACCTAGAATCGCCCTTTTGACTGCGCGTTCGATAACGCTGAGTGATTTTTCATCCTGCTTACGCAGCGACCAGGTATCTGATGCATACGTTAGGGCAGAAAGAATTATGCAGTCGAGAAATCAGGATCGGAGTTGGGCGTTTTTGTTCTATTTACTACATTCTCGATGCTCTTAAGGCTCCTCAAGCCGTTTGTTTTTTTCTATATAACTCTGAAGCTATGTCGTTCATTATGACGATTTCCAGAGGAAGATAGACATAACTGGAGCATTCGGAGATATTCGCTTCGTTGAGCGTGAATGGGGCATGCGAAACCAATCCATTACTCGTGAACATAGTTCTTATAACATTTATTATTAAACACTTAACGAAGAGCAATCTTTCCACAAGCGTTATCAAAGTGGACATCCATTCGGTTCTGCCTGGCTATTGTTTAGTATTCTAAGGACGATGTCGCAAGCGATGCATAAATGCTGTGATTGCCGGCCATCGATATTCACCCCCATATTGTCCCATTCCAATGTTTGCATGGCGTTTACGAGGGTGACAGTGAATAATTTTGGCGATATAATATCGCCTTATCTAACTCCTCTTTTGACATCAATGTTCATATAGTTGTAGAATGGTGATATCCTGGTTGTGAAATTTTATACCGCTGACGAAGAATCTTTGGGTACGCAGTAGACCCGCCTCGGCTGCAAGGAACTTCAATGACTACTTCTGTCTAAACTGAGTCAAATACCGAAGACCGACTTTTTGTTAACCTCGGCATTGATTGATAATTCGATATTTTTCTTCAATAAGCAGGCACGAGGTTGTTATTACAGAATTTATTAGGATACAGTAGCTGACGTTTTGGCGGTTTCGCCTTCTTCAGTGCCTGGAAAGGTCAAATTGAGATGCGATCTACCCAGCCAAACACTTTCATAACCCTAGCAGATAAAACTTAACAAATAAATTTGTATTCGCATAAGAACAGCTTCATTTAAACACCTATCGTTTATTTGTTGTACGTATGTAAGCTAGTTGGTGGATAGCAGGTGACCTGGCGCCATACCTCAGGCTGATCCGATAACCTGACACAGGTACAGTTCTCGCCCATGTATTACTCTGTGCGTCTGCTATCCACCAACTAACTTATATACTTACAACAAATAAACGGTAGATGTTTAAATGAAGCTGTTCTTATGCGAATACAAATTTATTTGTTAAGTTTTATCTGCTAGGGTTATGAAAGTGTTTGGC